TCGGGAGGGGCGGGCGGGCAGTGAAGCGCCGGGTCTGGTGGGAAGCGAAGCGCCTAGTCGAGTGAGCCGGTTAGGGCGAGTAACACGTGGTTAGGAAGGCTCGCCGAGCAGAGGGTGGGTGGCTGGGCGGTCAGGTAGGTAAATTTTTAAATTAGTTTTTTTTTTTAGAAGGCCTTATTCCGCGCGCATGTTTTCCACCGGAAAAGACCACCATAAATATTTTTCCTACGTTGGTTTTACCGGTAGAAATTTTGCCGTCGGTAAATTCCAACTCTGCCGGAAAATGATCAATTTCGGTTAAGTAACCGGCGATCTACCGGCGAAGGCCAGCGGTTTTAAAAACATACGACAGCTAACTAAACCGTCGGAGAACCGTCGATAAAATGACCGTCGGTAGGTCGTCGGTCAATTAACCGGCGGCGTCACAGTCGGGAAATCGCCGGCATAAAATCTGGTTGAAACCGGCGGTCAGAGCCGCCGGAAAACCGCCGGTACTAGTTTCCTACGCGATTTTTTCCGGCGGCACAAAAACCGCCGTAAAGCCGCCGGTAGTTAAAAAAACCGCCGGTTAATATAAGCTAACCGTCAGAAAAAACCGCCGGTTTTCGGCGTTTTTCCTGTAGTGGGTCGAAAATGCTGCCGGTAATAGATGATTTTTCTTTTGTGATCTTTGATAGTGATGTTCATTTTACTTCTTACTTTTGGAAAACTAAGTTGATACTTATGGGCACAAAATATAGATTTCAAGTATATTTCATTCATGATATAATGGAAAATTAAAGGTAGTTAAAAGAATATCAAGCAATCTTTATCAAAGGGTTAGGTAATAGATAAAACAAAGCAATGTCTATTAGGCTAAACAATTTTACCTAAGAAAATCTTCTAGATCATTTGATGATTAGAATGATGCATTAGTTTGCATTTTCCCTAAATAGCTCCCTCACAAAGATTTAAACATTTGCCCTAATCAAAATTTCAAAGCCCGCCGAATTGTTTGACCTAAAGCACTTTTTTTTTTCCTTCTAATAATCCTCATTTGAAACCTCTGCTTCTCTATCATAAACCTACTTTGCAGTGCAAGCCTCAGCTATAAATAGCGCTCATTTGGCCACCACAGCTTCTCATCCACCATTCCATAAACAAACAATGGCTACAAGCAATAAGCTCACGGCTCTTGCATTGTTAGTTCTGCTTAGCATTAGCTTCTGCCTTTCCTTCGCAAGGTCCTTGAAGCAGGCTAGCAAGCCAAAATCAAGTTCTGGCTACCACGTAGCTGATGATGGCGACGGAGGAGGGGACGGTGGGGGTGAAGGTGGTGGCGGTGATGGTGGAAGCAGTGGCGATGGCGGCAATGGCGATGGTGATGGTGGCAGTGGAGATGGCGATGGCGGTGGTGGCGATAGTGGCGGTGGAGATGGCGGTGGTGGTGGTGGTGGTGATGGTGGCGGTGGTGGTGGTGGTGGTGATGGTGGCGGTGGAGATGGCGGCGGTGGCGATGGCGGTGGCGATGGTGGCGGTGGTGATGGTGGCGGTGGCGACGGAGGTGGCAGCCGCTAAAGGGTTCGTAGAAGCAGGATGTTGCCACGGACACGACCACCATCCTTGTGGTGGTGGTTTAGTACACAGTAGAGGGCTGTGGAAGTGTGGCTGCTTTCAATTTTTATCCTTAGTCAAAAATAAAAGTTTCATGTGAAAGCCTCATAGCTAAAGATGCTGAAGAATAAGACGCAGTAATGGTCAATATTGTCGCGTATTGTGCAATATAGTCTTTAAAATAATATTATGTAACCTTTGTGAAATTGTCATCAGATGCAGAACAATGTCAGTCTACTTTTATATTTGATAATAAATGTTTTTTCTTCTACTTGTCTTTGATTTTATTTGGAATGATTTTTTTATTGATTCTTAAAATAAATTTTTAGTAAAAAAAATTTAATTCTTATACTTAAAAATTATTTTAAGAAATAATTAAAAAATAGTTTCAATTGAAACTTTTATGCCATCAATTGCTAACAATGATCATCAGATTTAATTGATGGACAAAGTTATAGGATTCATTATGCCTCTAAGGTCTTTCTAATTTAAATCCTTTTTATGGGAAGAATATGAAGACAATTTTTAAATTTAGTTGCCTTTTAGTGATTTTCACCAAAATTCTTACATACTCTATTGAATAGGGTGTGTTAATTCTCTCGATCATAAACTATTTTAACAAATTCAACTATTATTTATTAATTACTCCCATTAAGATGCTTATTTTTACTATAAAAACACAAGATTTAGAGATCGTTTAGTCCTTCAAATAAGATCAAGAAGTTTCCAATTACTATTTTCTGCTGGATTTATGCGGGTCATTTATATGTGCGTTTTTTTTTTTTTTTTTTTTTTTTTTTTTTTTTTTTTTGGTACAATTGGTTTCGTTTGAGACAATTTTTTTTATTATTTTCTAAAGCTGTTTTTTATTACTAAAATTTATATTTTAAGAAATTTTTTACTAAAAAGTAGCCAAAGGCAAGATATGACTTGCTTCAACTCCATCAATTGCTTACAATAACCCCTTCTTCTGCCATCCTTCTCTTGATCAATCTCCTTACCATTATCAATTTTTGCTAGGATACAAATAAAGGCTTCGTTTAGGATAATTTTTTTATAAACTTATTTTCAAATAAAAAAATTTTAAAATAAAATTTTTTTTAACATTAAAACTGCTTTAAAAAAATTAAAAAAAAAACTATCTCAAAAGTAGCCAAAACATCGTTGCCTCACTGTTAGGACAACAATGTTTGTAAGTATCATTGAACAAATCAAGGTTTTTTGCTAAAATAATTATCGACTAATGCTGCGAATGATAAATTCTATTTTAATTATTGAAAGGCAAAGAAATATTGTTGAACTAAAAAATTGTTCAAATAAGCATATAACTAATCAAAGATTTAGGCTTCGTTTGGGACTGTTTTCTTTCTGCTTCTTAAAGCATCTTCCTAGAACAAAATTTTTAATTTTTTACTAGAAAGTTGCTTTAAGAAGCAATAAAAAAGTCGTCTCAGACTTCGTTTGAAATATTTTACTTAATGCTTACTAAACTAGTATTTTAGTACAAAATTCTTTTAAGCTATTAATTTTTTACTAAAAAATGCTTTATGAAACAATAGGGAAGTTGTCTCAAACAAAGTGTTAAAATGATGAATGGAAATTTTTATATGAAGAAGAAAGAATATTAGAGAAAATAATAATGGTTCCCATACATATTTATAAGAAATTCTCAGCAACTAAATTATCAAAATGAAATTTGAACTCACCGAATTAATGAATGTTGAAGCAGTCAAAGAAATTGTATATCGAATACAAAGCAAATGTGTTGTTTTGCATCACCTGGAAGCCGATGGAGTAGGGGAAGTCAAAGGAGATGAGGAAGATGAACAAGGCACTCGAGGACGTTTTGATCGTGTCATATTGCGGAACCCAAACAGTCCGGATCGCAGGAAGCGGAAGATTTAGAGCTCGCTCCGACTTTTTGGTGCCATGGAAGCCGAAGTGTTCGATCGGGACGTCCGTCGCTGACTTCATCTCTATAAATTAGAGAAGAGAGGGTGGAGTGAAACAGAGAGAGAGAGAGAGGCGATCAGGCGAACAACCTAGTGAGAGAGAGCGAGCGTGAAGGAGAGCAAGTGAATGCATTCACGCAGGCGAGTGGCTAGGTCAAGTGGGAGGTAAGGTTTGTTTTTTATATTATTAAGAAAAAAATAATAATATTTTAAATAGAATTTTATATATGTATTAATAGAATTTATAATAAAAGATAATTATAAAAAGATTTTTAAGAAATATTAAAATTAAAATAAGAACTATTTAAGTATACTTAATAATTAATTATAGAGAGATATGATTATATATAAGTTAAAAAAAACCTTATAAAATCATGTATTATTATAAGTATCATTTTATTGAAGTCAGAGCAAGGACATTAAGAGCAAGCAATCCTAATCAAAGTGAGTACTCATATCTTTTTAATTACAGTAATGATTTTGTTCTCTCTTAAATTATATGCATCGAAAGTTAGTAATACTTTTTTAATTAAGTCTTTATTACAAGCTAGATCATGACGTGTCTTTCAAGTCTTTATTGCAAGCTAGATCATGATGTGTCTCTCATATACAATGATTAGTCATATTGAGTCAAATGAGAATTAAATTATTATGCTTCGTATTATCATATAAAGGTAATGAATACTATTTACATGAAATGACTAGCTATATATACTTGCATGTGCATGTTGACTGATGGAGCATACCCCCTTATGATACTAGTTGGGGACGCAATGTATCCGTTCACGTATATGAAAAATGTTATGAAAAAGGAAAAATAAATTAAAAAAGGAGTACCTTCATTAGTACTAAATTAGATGATAGCTCCTGTGACGGTTGAATTATTTTTGAGAAAAAAGAAAATTTTAGATAAAGATATTGTATATGTATAATATTAAAAGTCTTGAAATGAAATGAATCTAAATGTAATTACTTTATGAATTGAAATGATCAATGGCAGAGCTATAAATTTTATTCAAGGGGGGGGTCTAAATTAAAATACTTTTGTTTGTCATATTATATGGAATATTATAATACATTTAAATAGTTGATCATGAACCTTTGGTGGTTCTCATTTAGATTGTCTTGCCCAATTAAAATCACATTTTACTAACTAGAAACACCATCTTTGTTATTGGACTGATATTTGACAAACATCTTCAAATGAATAACATGAAAGTACTTTTGTTTGTCATATTATATGAAATATTATAATACATTAAAATAGTTGATCATGAACCTTTGGTGGTTCTCATTTAGATTGTCTTACCCGATCAAAATCACATTTTACTAACTAGAAACACCATCTTTGCTATTGGACTGATATTTGACAAACATCTTCAAATGAATAACATGAAAGTTAGCATATATAAACTATGATGCACTTATATACTAGTTAATGAGAAGTTTGTCATATTCCATGAGAAATGAGTGATCTATTTATAAATTTTGAGTGTAGTATAACCAATAAATAAGAAGGAGATCAATGATAAGTTGGAAGTTGTTTGAATGGACGACCTATATTGATTCTCTTGATCGTGAACTATTTATTAGGCATTTGAATATTTTAATGATATCAAAATTTGATGATCTTGGACTCGTTGGATTTGTCTCGTAGAGCTGCTCGATTCGACTATAAGCATGTTAGTTTGGAAATAGTTAAACATCCAATTTATGGTTTGAACTTTTCAAATGCGCTCCGGATCGTGACATTCTCCCATCGAAATTCTTTCACCATTGATTCAAGATACATTAACATTTGCATATGCTACTTTTTTCACTTAAATCTCAGTTTTCTTCCTTTGCAATTTTTTTAATTTTTTTAGATATTAATTACTTGTATTTAAGATTATATTCTATTTATCTTGCACTTTTGGCCAAACAGAAAGAGTTGAATCTTATGATGCAATTGATATAATATATAAATGATATTGAATGGAAAAAGTTCTTGAAAAGTAGCATTTAAATTTAAATATCTATTTATAAAATTATCACTCAATTATTTTTATTTATAATGATATCTAAGATGATAACAAAATTTTATTTCTTAATATTTTTATTAAATTTTTTCTATCTAACATACATAAATATTTGATTTGATAATTTTTAATGGTTGCATGCATAACATTCGAAATATTCTCATTGATATAGTTATCATTTAACACCTGAAATCATTTATATATTCTCATTGATATAGAGGCTATCAGACGGAGATTTGCATTTTCCCTTTAGGTTTCGGAAGAGGGAAACGAACTACAGAGAGGGGTACATGTCCGCCAACGACGGCGCCACAATGGCGTCAAGTCGGCAGTTTGTGCTGGAGAAGGAGAGCGAGCTGAGGGTGGAGGTGGGCCCCGAAGCTACTCTCCGTCTCCGCCTCACCGCCGGCGCCGCCGAGGTTTTCGGCGCCGAGCTCCCGCCGGAGAAGTGGATCACTGTTCCCGCTTTCCAAAATATTGCCGTAATTTCTTTTCCCACACTCATCACTTGCCCTACTTCAGTAGCTTGAAACTTTTCAGGACCTTTATGGCAGATTTTCACTTGGAAGGGTGCGACAATCGAATTGGACGGAATCAGCGAAGTTGAGTACGTGGCAGATGAAGTGAGTGAGCATTTTGTTTCAGAAAGGAGATTTTGTGGTTAACCTTCGTTTCTCAGGCTTTTCTTGATTGAGTTTGCCACTTTTTGTTTGATACATGGCTTTTTGATTTTTTATAGACGCCTATGGTGAGCTATGTGAATGTCCATGCTATATTGGATGGGAGAAGGACTCGTGCTAGAACCGGTAATTCACAGGTATAAGTTTGCTTGGCTAACCTTCCGTGTTGTTGTGAAACTTTTTGCGAATGCTAGTGTTTTTTTTATGACTTCAGACCTTAGTCTTTTAATATGCAGGTGTATGTTATATGTAGATGACCAAGTTCTTGTAGGTCAGATCATGGCTAAAATAAATGAAAAGTTAGATTATTGGAGATATTTTTTAAAGAGGAATTAGGATTAATGGAACAAAGATAAATTATATCATATATAATTTTAGTGGGTGTGAAGTTGATGGGTTTTAGTTAATATTGTTGGAAGATCAATTGATATGTCCATGACATATATCTAAGTTTCTTGGAGCTATTTTACATGTCAATTTCGGTGTAGATGGAAATATTTTTCATATAGTTCATATTGGGTTGTGAAAGTAAAGAAGTATAATATGTAATAGGGGAATATTAGAGTGACTTAAAGATAAATTTTATAAAATTAGTATTCACTAGTTATATTATTTGGATTCAAGTGATGAGCAATAAATAAATCACTAATAACTAAGTTGAGTAAAGCAAAACATGAGAATGTTCAAATATAAGTGTGACAAAATTCGATTTAAAATAGATCTAGAAATGATTGTGTTAGAGGAGTGATAGGAGTATCACCTATTAAACATAAGGTAATGAAAACTAAATTAGATGGCTTGAGCAGGTAAAAAGGATGATCAAATATTTACCAATAAGATAAAATAAACAAATTAATATCAATAAATTAGAAAGAAAAGTGGTTGATGCAAAATCCTTCATCAATCGTTGATTCCCAAAATTGTAGCATCAATGATATTCCTTCTACGACACTTGATTTTGGGGGTTGTAGCTTCAATGATCCTTTCTTTTTGCATGTCCTTTTTATGATTTCTTTTTTCCCTGGGACATTAGCAGTTGGGTGGTATCTTACTTCAGCAGCTTTGCTTCTCAGGACTGTAGCAATCAACGATTTTCTTTTTTGCTTCCTTCGGTCGGCACTATAGTACTTGCGATTTCTTGCTTGTTCTTGAATATCGAGAGTTGTTTTGCCTTGCCTGAAATTTTTTGGAAACTTGCACTTTAGATTATATCTTAATGGATTCTAAAAATTACTATATTTGGGGTTATAAATGAGACCTTTGAAGTATGTTATATACACTCAATAGTTTCATAAAGTTTCATATTTGCATCAATATTTATGTGTGCTATTTAATGTAGATTTTTCAATGCGCCATAAGTCATTTCAAAACTAGTCATCTCCAATTTCATACATCATTTCGTTTAATGCATGGGAGAATCGTCTCAGCTTCTTTTCTGGCTACTGAGTATTGATTACTTTTTTTTCAAGGGCCCTCGTACTATTGTTGTTGGGCCAACAGATTCAGGTAAAAGTAGTCTGTGTAGAATGCTGCTTAACTGGGCTTGCAAGAGAAGCTGGAAGCCTACTCTCGTGGACTTGGATATTGGCCAGGGATCTATTTCCATGCCTGGGTGTATTGCTGCTAGCTCTGTCGAAATGCCTATGGATGCTTTTTGGGAAATTCCTACTGAGATGCCTGTCGTCTATTTCTATGGCCATACTAGTGCAAGGTACTTTAAATAAGCCATCTTAATATAGAATATCTTCACATTCTTTGCCTTTTTTTCCAAGTATCATGTTAATTTTCACTAATCAAGGACTTAGATTACTAGGTTATATTTTTGCATCAAAAGTTTTTTTGTTTACATCAAGATTCGAGAAGCATCTGTAGATTTATAACCTGACAGTGCGAATGTAGAGTTATATAAAGTTCTTATGAAGGAACTAGCTCAAACTCTGGAGAAACGATTCTCATGCATCTCTGAATATGAAGTTGCTGGCATGGTTATCAACACAATGGGGTGGACTGATGGTTTAGGGTATGAGGTACCTTGTAATGCGAGTTTGTAGCTTATTGGGATACTCTATAGTTCTTCATCAGCCTCTATCATGTTGTCTGACATTTCTACATCGGTTATCTGGTGGTGCAGTTACTTCTTCAAGCAATCAATATTTTTAACGCAGATGTTGTTCTGGTTTTGGGACAGGTAATTTGTTGATAATATTTTATATTTCTTTTTATTATACTTCGTGAACTTGTTTTCCTTTTATTTCTTATTGATTTGGTTCAAGGTCCCTTAATTTTTTTTCCTTTTCATGGAGGAATGCATCGGGCTTGTTATGTGATAGAAATGTACCCCTCAAACTTAAGGTAAAATTCTATAAGATGGTAGTGAGGCCTGCAATGCTTTATGGTGCCGAATGTTGGCCTTCAAAAGAGAAGCATAATACTAAGTTAAGTGTGGCAGAGATGAGGATGCTCAGGTGGATGAGTGGCTTTACCCTTAGAGATAGGATACGAAATGAGCATATACGTGAAAAGGTTGGAGTAGCTCCAATAGAAGATAAGATTAGAGAAAGTCGCCTTAGATGGTTTGGTCACATAAAACGGCGGCCTTGTGATGACCCGGTTAGGAGAGTAGAGGTATTAGATTTGACTTATGTTAAGAAAGGTAGGGATAGACCTAAAAAAACTTGGTTAGAAAATATTAGGAATGACCTTTCTTTATTAGATTTAAACGAGAATTTGACTTTTAATAGGACACAATGGAGAAAAATGATTCATGTAGCCGACCCCACGTAGTGGGATAAAGGCTTGATGTTGTTGTTGTTGTTGTTGTATTTCCAAGTAATTGTTACTACTAGAGATTGATATGGATATGCGTTGAAAATAAAAGAAAAATGGCTTTTATGTTTACTTGCACTTCCACTTTTCAGCAAACTTTCATTTTATCTCTTGATCAATGAAACGTCATGGTTCTCTAAACATAATGCTCATTGCTCCCCTTTTCCCATATGCACTGCATCCAGGTAGACATATCTTCTTGCCAAAGATGGATTGATCTCTCTATATTTCTCATTCTCTATTTCTCTCTTTTTCCTTCTGTGTTTAATGATATATAAAGACTGCTTGAAAGTTTTTAGAGAATCCTGACAATTATCTGTAGAGCATGGTTTTTTATTTTTTGTTTGAAAATTATTCACATTCTAGCTGAAACTTGAATATTTAAGAAATGAACACTCAGTCCAAAATACTCAACTAAAGAATTTGTCTTTTTTGTATAACGGAAAACTCATTGATATTTTAACGAAAGCAAAAAAATATGGGTTAATGTATGTAGATTGATTTTATCAAATAGTGTTCGAATATAGAGTTTTTTCTAATCTCTCTTCTATAAATGATTTTTTAAAACTTAATTTATGAGGAGCCCTTGTGCAGGGGAAGCTTTTCAATATGTTAAGAGATGCATTAAACTCATTGATAATTTAATAAAAGAAAAAAAAATATGGGGTGGAGATTTGTTAAGCTCTTCAAAATTTGTATGGTCGGATTGCAAATAAAGATAGTAGGATGTTAGTTTTGTAAATAACCTAATTTTATATGTTACACAAGAAATAGCCCGCTATTCTTATCTACTGCTATGTAGACTGATTTTATCCATGTCTGAGTGTTCGGATACAAAGTTTTTTCTAATCTCTCTTCTAAAATCATAATTTAGAACTTAATTTATGAGGAACTCTTGTGTAGGAGAAGCTTTTCAGTATGTTAAAAGATGTATTGAAGAGCAAACCTCATGTAGACATTGTGAAGCTTCACAAGTCAGAAGGTGTGGTACTGAGGAATCAGAAAGTCCGTCAGATGTCTAGAAGTTACAGAATTAGAGTAAGTTTTTCTCTGCCATATTCTTCATGTTGCTGCAAAGTTACCTAGTATTTACTTTTTGTTTGGTTCTATATCATGCTAGTTTTTTCCCTAGCAAAAGAAATTTTCTTTATGAATCAGGATTATACTATTAATAGATGTAATAGTTCCAATAGTAGGAACCTTTTTTTTTTTTTGTTAGATAGGAAGTTATCACTTTGCTGCTCTGGCACATTCATGTTGAAATTGTTGGAGAGGAAATTTTTTTGTTGTATCTTACTGATTGAATGTTAGTGCTTATGTACAGGCAAATAGGAAGTATAGAAAAAAATAGATATCAAAAGAATATTCTTAATTATGAAGATAAAATATATCAATAAAATCATATCTTTGTCCAATGCTTTTCCATGATAACATTGTCCCATCAACTTGGTGTATAAAGATCAATTTGTTTCTGCTTGATGCAAATATTATAAAACTGAAGAGATCTTAGAGCTTTGGTAAAGATATAAATGAATTTGTTAGGCCGGCCCAAGGGCCGGCTGAACCGGTCCATCCTAGACGGGTTCATTGTTACAAACGGCGGGCTAGCTCACTAATTAAGCTTTGTATTGGAGTGAAAATTTTGAATTAGGGGCTATTTAGGAATTATGTAATTTTCCTTTTGCTTTAATTACTTTCTTCTTGCTAGGTTTAGGGTTATCTTGAATTTGGAGGTTGAATTTTAGATTTAGGGTTTTGCTTTTGGGCTCTATACTTTGGTTAGAGATTTGGAGAATTGAATCTTCCCTCGAACTGAAGATTTTTGTATCGTTTGTTGTTTTTCTTGTTCTTTGGCTGAATTGGATTATATCTTGATGTTTTTCTCTATTATGCTTGGAATTTCTGCACCAAATTTGATGAATTTCTCTGAAATTCAGCAATTTCCTGCACTATGGTGGTTGTTTTCTTCAAATTGATATAAGAGCACGTCGATCTAAGGGAAACCAATGGATGGAAGAAAAGTGGAAGTCTTGGAGGGAGAACTTGGGCAACTCAAATCAGATTTTGAGGAGATTTCTGATTTTTAAAATCAGATCGCATCAGTTAATGAAAGGATGGAGGAAAAGTTCGCCGTGGTGGAAGACATGTTGAAGATATTGCTAGAAGCCAAACCCAATCCGGCTACATCGGAAGCAAAGGAAACTACCGACAACCATGGAAGAGGTGAGGAACCCTAACACGTTTAGGTGACGGAAAAATCCAGGAGTAGAGATCTTGGAGGGTGAAGACGGAATGCCTCATATAGAATCACTTTTAAGTGAGCATATGAGCATTGGCTACGAAAGAAGGGGTGCTGATTTTGTGAGGAGAGGGGATGATTTCGATCGCCGAGGTGCTGATTTTGAAAGAAGAAGAGGGGATTTTGATGAAGTGTTTGGGTATGATTGTCAGAGGGAAGATCGTGACAACTAGGGAGCACCTCCTCTTTGAGGAATAGGAGGCTATGGAGGATTCAGGGGAAATGGTGGTGATCCGAAGGTGAGGAAGCTGAAGATGCCCATCTTTGAGGGCGAGGACGCACATGGCTGGATCTACAAGGTGGAGCAATACTTTGCAATCAACGGGTTGACAGAGTAGGAGAAATTGACAGCTACAGGACTGTGCTTAGAAGGGAAGGCATTGGCATGATACCAATGATTGGATATGAGGCGATTCATTCGGAGCTGGAGAGAGTTCAAGGATTGTTTACTAGAATGTTTTCGAACCAATAAGGGAGGAGATTTCTATGAGTAGTTCTTCGCCCTGACACAGGAGGGTACCGTGGCAGAGTATTGTGACAAGGGATAAATAGCTGATAAAGAGGTGGTGGTGCTGATCGATAGTGGGGCAACCTACAATTTCATCTCCGATCAGATTGCAGATATGCTAAGGGTGAAATTAGTGGATACTGGGGGCTACGAGGTGATGATGGGAACGGGAAAGGTGGAGATGGCTAGAGGAGTATGTAGGGGGGGTAGTGCTAACTATTCAGGGGATCCAGGTGAGGGAGGACTTTTTTTCACTGGAGTTGGGGAGCACTGATGTCATCCTGGAGATGAAATGGCTATAGACCTTGGGAGATACCAAGGTCAATTGGGGAGCACTAAGAATGGAGCTAGTGGTAACTAGGGGAAGGAGGATGGTGATTCAGGGCAACGTCGAGCTGTCCAATGCTGGCGTATCTCTCAAATCTCTTATCAGGACCATACAGGAGGTGGGAAGAAGAATTTTGGTAGAGTTGCAACGCTTGGAAGGGTTCAGACTAGAGGATGAGGGAGACATTCCTACTTCAGTTCAACCGCTCATATAACAGTTCAGTTAGATTTTTCAACCTCCCCAGGGCCTACCTCCATAGAGAGAGATGGAGCATGCCATTACCTTGAAGAAAGTGGTGTCACCGATCAGTGTTCAGCCGCACCGCTATCCCTAGATTTAGAAGGATGAGATGGAAAAGCTTATTCGTGAGGTGTTGGAGGTGGGGATCGTCAGGCCAAGTGTGAGTCCTTTCTCTAGCCCAATCTTATTGGTCAAGAAAAAGGATGGGAGCTGGAGGTTTTGTATGGATTACAGAGCTTTAAACAAGGGGACAATGCTGGATAAGTTCCCTATTTGTGATTGATGAGCTCTTGGATGAGCTGTATGGAGTAGTGATATTTTCCAAGTTGTATTTGAAGTTAGGTTATCATCAAATCAGAATGAAGGAGGCAGGTGTTCAAATGACGACTTTCAGGACATACAAGGGGCTCTACAAGTTTCTAGTGGTGCTATTTGGGCTTACTTAAGCCCCCGCTACTTTCCAATCTTTGATGAACAACATGTTCCTGTCGTACCTCCTAAAGTTTGTCCTGATTTTCTTTGATGACATACTGGTGTACCAATAAGACTGAAGAGGAGCATCTGGAGCACTTGAGGGTGGTTTTAGGAGTTCTACAGGAGCATCAGCTAAGGGCCAACCTAAAGAAGTGCAACTTAGCTTAGGCTAGTGTGGAGTACTTAGGCATGTGGTGTCCCAGAAGGAAGTGGCGGCTGATCAAACCAAAATTGAGGCAGTGCAACAGTGGTCTTTGCCTAGGAACCTGAGGGAGTTAAGGGGTTTCCTAGGATTGACTGGTTACTACCAGAGATTTGTGAGGGGATACAGTACTATAGCTTAGCCCTTGATTAAGCAACTGAAGAAGGATGGCTTCTTGTGGGGAGAAGTAGCGACCCATGCCTTTGAGAGATTGAAGAAAGCCATGACTACAGTCCATATTTTATCTCTCCTAGATTTTAATCATATTTTTATAGTGGAGACCGATGCGTTCAAATATGGGTTGGGGGTCGTACTCATGCAGAATCACATATCTATAACATACTATAGTCAAGTACTGTCAGCCAGAGCTAGGCTGAAGTCAGTATATGAGAGAGAACTTATGGCCATTGTGTTGGCTACAAACGACAGTGGGTGGCTGGTTGGCAGCGGCGTTGGTGATTGTGGCTGGTAGGGTGGTGGCGGTCAGCTACTATGAGTGGTGGTGACAAGTTAGCTTGATTACACTTAAAATGGTTTTCTCTCAAAACTAGACGAGTAGGGCGGTGGTGGTCTTTTATCTCACAATGCATAAAAAACATGCATAAGTCTTATTTGTTATTTGAAATTTGCGATATTTTCTGGTTATATTGAAATTATACACACAAGTTCTTAAATTTGAATTTCTCCATTGTGCTAAGAAATGTGTGCACGAGGCTTATTCTTTACGTCACAAATGTTGCCTACTACTTTTCCTCGTTGTGCTAAGAAAAGCGCACAGGTTTTGTTTATCGCACCAAATGCTTTACACTTGGAATTTTGAAAGTTTTGAGTTGTTGCCTTTTATATCTTTGTGTGTGAGATAGTAATGCTAGTGATGACAAGAATCAAACACAATTTTTTTTTTATTTTCTCTTCTATTTTTTTGGCTTTTCTTTCTTCCTTTTTTTTTCTTTTTTTTTTTTAAGTTTTTTATTTTCTAAATGAGTGAGAGAAGAGAGAATGAAAGAGAGAGAGTGTGAGGAATAGAGAGAGCAAGAGGGGAAAGTTAGGGAGAGATTTCTCTCTATATTTAGAGAGAGAAAGAGAAAGATGGAGGTGGAGAGAGAAAGGAAGGACGAGAGTGAGAGTAGGAAAATGCTAGAGATAAAGAGAAAGAGGGTTAGATAGTTCATTGGTGGCTTCACCTGTGAGCTTTTGCTACAACTTTCATGCTCCTTTGCTAATGAGGGTTTCAGGAAATCATGTAGGAGCCAAGGGGAGGAAGAGGCGGAGGGTTTGTGAGTTTTGGAGAGAGACCAGTTGCATGTTAGGACTTATGATACACAGGGGAGTATAGGTTGGACGACGTTGTCGCGTGCGACTAAAAGAGGCTGAGGAAGAGAAAGATGAGGAGGTTGAGGGATGGGTGGTTTGTGAAATAGAGGGGATAAGTGTGAGCAGGCGGGAGAAGAGAATTTGAAGGTGATGTGGTCATGCTAGTGGTTCATCTGATCTATCGAGAGGAAGGGAGAGACGAAGGAGATTGGGAAAATAGAGGCCTGCTAAGGAGTTCTGTAAAATGGGAGAGACTAGTGCGAGTAGGTTTAGATTTTGGCTTTTTTTCTATGGTTGGATGGTAATACGAGATGGAACATCGAGACATTTAGGCACTGCTCATTACTTGCGACAAAAAAATAGATATTCAACTAACGATTTGGATGATATTTGAAAAAAATTATTTGATTTTGATTTAATTTTAATTATGTGTATATAATTATGTAGTCCTGACAATATTAATTTATTTTATTTTTAACCAATTTAGTTAGTGTGTGTAAAGCTTACATGTCATTTTCTCATAAAAAATGTCATTCACATGTCTCGAATTATGTGTTGTCGCCTTTTGCATGGGCAAATTTTACATTTCGCCTTCATGCGATGACCTTATAATACAGATATCCTTTTTGGGTTTCAGTATTCCAGATGTATCAGTGTGGTGTGATTTGTGAAT